GTTTTTTTTAGTTTGACTTTGGTGTGTGATGTAAAACCTTATTAAAACTATGATGTTACTTTTTGTTTCTTTTGGGTTGTTCTAACTTTTCAGATTAGCGTTGGAATTCTAAGGAGCATAGAAGGTTAACTTTCGAGTCGTGTTTGTCTAGTCAAGGAAGCTTAGAGTTGTGAGTCAGAACCCACAATTCAAGATAAGTGTGGGGTACATTAGGAGAGAGGTTATAGTTGGGAAATATATTTGCATAGAAGTGTCGGACACCATTTAGCCATTGGTCAAAGCTGCTAGAGTAAATAAAGCAAATAAGTCATTTTCTACTGATGCCCAGTTTCCACGACGTGGATTCCTTATGCCACGTCGTGGCACTCTTGCAGTTTGTAGTAGTTCAGCATTTTGGTATTCGCGGTTTCAACCCATATCACGACGTGTCCAGATATATGCCACGACGTGATCCAGTTTATCATTGCCACATTTTTCCTTACAAATACCCACTTTGACGAATTGAAGTTTCGAGTCCTGTTCATGGTTTATTTACATATTCAACCAGTTCTACACCGAGTTTCTATTCTTGGAAGTCCAATTGCACATTTTCCACACTTTTAGAGATGCTCACGCCGCTATTCCAGGGGAGTCTGTTCCTTTTTCTCCCTTTTCTTTAATTTTGATTTGTTTTTATACATACAATGAGGGCATTGTATGAAATAAGTGTGGGGTAGGGGTAGAAAAAGTAAATTGTTAGAAAATTTTGAAAATTCAAATTTTTATTAATTGAATCTAGTAATAATAATTTTAGCTATAATTGCTAGTATTATGCGGGATGATCCGATGAAAGTTCAAATGTTTAGTTGAGCCAATATACGTTATAGTGCATTTGTGGCTTCCCTTATTTTAGTGAAATCATGGAACAAAAACATAACCCCGCTCGGTTTGAAGGATGCAATATGTTTAGCAGCCTAAACCTGAAATGTATCCAAGAAAATGATTATCATTAACCAATAAAGGTTGAGGTTGAGCGTCTCTGCTTAAGCATGTAGGTTTTGAGTGAAAAAAGAGAGGTACATGTAAAAAAAAGAGAGAGAATTACGAAAAAGTTTGAAGAATTTTGGAGCAAATAAAGTGAAGATCAAAAGATCAAAATTCCAAGAAATTCAAAAAGTTGAAGATACCAAGAAATCAAATCAAATAAGGTGGTGAATTCAAAGAAATCAAAGATCAAATTGTTAAGGAAGTGAAGAATTCCTAAAGAGCTCCATAGTGGTATCGGAAAAAATCGTAATTCTAGTTTATGTATGCTTAGGTTGCTCAACTAAAAATACCTTGAGGTTAAGAGGTTTTCTGAGGATGGATTCGGAGGGTTGCATAAAATGAGCATTGTTCGGAAAAAGTGGGCGAGTGTTTATGAAGATTGTTAGTATTTAAAGTATGGGGGGGGTACTTTACGAGAATTTTAGACACGAATGCATGCGTTGAGGTTTTGGCATAATGGCTGAACTAGAGTCGGATTGTTCTGTGTAGTGTTAGTAATTAAGAATTAAGTTTAAATTTGCTTGAGGGCAAGCAAAGCCTAAGTGTGGGGTATTTTGATATTGCCATATTTATACTTATTTTTAGGCAGTATTTAAGTACATTGTTATTAATAAATTGATAATATGTTCAAAATAATGATATTTATGAGTTTAAATTGTTATTTTCAGTTAATACAAAGGATTTTCGAAGAGAGGGACCAGAGGTGACGAAATGGGGAACATGGGAGGCTTGGAAGACAAGAAAATAATAAATTCACGATAAGAGCTCAATTCACAACGTGGCGGTGAAGCCCACGACGTGGCACGGGTGTTCCAGAAGATAAACATCGCGACGCGGAGGATTTCCTTGAAGGATACGGTTTACTTGAAGCCCACGACGTGGCGCATCTGGCCACGACGTGGCGCGGGTTTTTGAGGATTATATAAGTCCTCCTGATTATTACGAAAAGGAGACTTTTGGCAGAAGAAAAAGGAGTTCCAGAAGACGTTTCAGAGGAGAAGAAAGGTCCTGGAAGAGGGATTTCAACACCAAAAGAAGTAAAGTTTTATATTTTAGTTGACTATGAACATGTCTTTCATTAGTTTTAGCTGTGTTAGTTTAATTACTATGATAAGCAGCTGAATCTAGCTACTCTTGCTTAGCTAGATGAAGCTTTGAACTTATGAATAGTTATATGTTTATGGATTAATTTGAGTTGGTAAGAATTGTTTGTGTTTGATTTGTATAACCTAGCATGTTATTATTTGTTTATCTAATTGCTAGATTGCATGTTCTGTGTAGCTTAGTGACCATGAAACTGCATGAACTTGTTTACCTAATAATTTAGTGAACATTAAATTGTTAGAGCTAGGATTGACCAATCTTAGTTAGTAATTAAACTGAATAAATCTTAGCTGTGCTAGAGAACGTGAATTGTGACCATAATTGCGTTTATACAACAAATCTTACATAGCATATTTACATTCATAATTAGTTCTGTGTTTAATTATGTGTGAACATACATGGTTTGACATGAATTAGTTACTTATTGGTAAGATAGAACTAAATTACTAATATAACTAAAAACCAACTTAATAACCCATAATCATTAGCTAGTCATAAGGAAGAAGTGGATTCAACTAAGCAAGAGTGTGCTTTTATTTAATTTGAATTAAGTTCATCTGATCTTGCAAAATCAGATAAAACCCCTTATTAAATTTGTTAATAAATTAGGTTAATTTAATAGTAAGTAGATTAATTAGTAACACCATTCCCTGTGATCGACACCCGACTTACCTAAGCTATACTGTAATCTGACTAGGTACACTGCCTATAAGTGCATAGTTAGTCTAAGTTTGTTAGGTTATAAATATTAAAATTAGTGGGTACTTTTGTGCACATCAGTTACTGTTCACCATTCAACTTTCGACCACCAGCGAATTCGAAATGCCTCTGAATGGTTTAGATATAACTTTATTGTAAGAGAAGAATTGTTGTTAGACGTACACTGTCTTGAAGTAGATACTTCTTACATCGAATGTTTGGTAAAATTTGTTGTTTTTTAAATATTTTTTTATAAAACAAAAATGCCATAAAGATTTTTTTTCTTTACATTTCACAAACAAAAACTCCAAAAAGATTTTTTTCTTTATATTTCAAAAACAAAAACTACAAAAAGATTTTATTATTTTGTCTTTTAAATTCAAAAACAAAAGTCCAAAAATATTTTCTTCGTTTCGTTTAGTGAGCTTAACGTATGTCTATGTCCCAATAAATCAACATACTGTGGTGGCAAATGCTTAGTGGAATTTATTCAAAAGCGGGATAGGTACTATTTCGAATCTTTGCACTAGTTACGTGTCACTAGAAGCATGTTGTTGTATGTTGACCTAAGCCTCATAGACTTAATGTGTTTTGAAGCCTTAATGGATCTCTCACAGTAGGTGTTCCTTCCCAATTAAGCTAAATTCACATTAGTCGAAGAGCTACCTTTCTCTTCTCATTTTGAGTAAATAGATTACTGCGAAGTCCATTTCATTCACAGAGGTACACAGTGTTTTCTTAACCAATATTTTTCATGAAAAATGTTCTTAACAAATCATACACCTCACTTGCATATCCTCGACATCTCTGGTAAAAACCAACCATAATGTAGATATTGCACAAGCATGTGTTAATGATCCTGTTTCATTCTTCCGTGATGATGATGAGACCAAACAATCCCAACTCTTATGGAATTGACGGTGAACTTTATGTTCAAGATTTTAATGAAACATTTGTTTTTGTACCACCATTTGATAATCAAAATTGTATTCCTTTCGTTATGCGTGGTCTTGACAAAATGTTCTTTAATCAATATATTTTTTCCCAACAAGATCCAACTTTTTTTTGGAATATGGTTTCCGCATGAATATCTTTTCGAACCTTTGTCACTTTGAAATTTTTTCTCAACATCACTTGTTCCTAACTACACTGATCATACAAGTAATTATGTTCATTTTACTCACGCTTATGTTAGGTTGTGGATTTGAACAAAATTAAGCCTAACTTCGAAGCCTATGTAAAAAGAAGCCCTTCAATGCTCGTTCATGAGTATTCAATTGTACTTCACGGGAATCCACACAAGCAGTTTCATCTGTCTTGATGTCTAATGAAGTGATCTTTTCCTGGGAATTCTTTTACATAAATATTTTTTGATGTCACTATACGTACTTTTTCTTTAAAAAATTGATTCTTGCTATTTCTTTGGCACACATTTGCGCTGGAATCCTCGAGGTCTTGGGTACAACCAACTCAAACCTAGATTTCACAAATTATGGCTATGTTATTGTTTTTTAACCTAAAAGCAAATGAGCCTTACCTCAAAGCGAAGGTCTTGGTGTCATAATGAAGGTTAAAGTGCTCTTTTGATGATGAAGCTTTAAAATGTCATAACGAAGGTCAAGTGATGGTTATTATCTCTTTGGGGAAAACGAAACATTTGGAGGATGTGATGGATTTTCTTTGGTGGACGGTTCAAATTCAAATTTTTTACGTTGATTATAAAAGGATTTTGTTGTACTAAATTGAAGACTTTATGCAATCCGATCTAATTTTCCCCAATATGCTTTCACAATTATCATCTCACCACCAAACTCTCAAAAGCCTTAATCATGGCCACACCAATTGGTCACGTTGATCCATCTAACACCAATACTGAAGAAGCAACATCTCAATCGATGATGAAGATTCAAAGTTCAAACTTCCATGTTCAACCTGATGTTTTGAAGTATCCAAAGCAATTAAAGATGATGAAGATTCAAAGTTCAAACTTCCATGTTCAACCTGATTTTTCGAAGTATCCTGATCATATGCTTATATTTAGGGAAACAGTTTAAACTTATTAATCACAAGCTGAATTCATTGTTATAAATTCAAGATGATATAGGGGTCGAAATTCAGTGTCTGGGATTGAGGTGTATGTGATTATTAGGTCACAAGAGCATCATTTATAGATGGCCATGGAACAGATTGAGAAGAATCATGAAGAACGTTTAAAGCTTCATGTTGAAAATTTTCAGTATGAGGTGACTAAGCTTCGTGACGTTGCCAAAGAACATCATGTTCTTTTTCCTGAGGAAGTTAAGAAGGTGGAGTAGTCTGTTAAAATCAAAATGGAGGAACTCAAGTTCAAGATGTCAAAGGAGGTGGCAAAGCTCTAACTAAACTATTCGAGTCTTGATAGCAAGGTTGATGTTATTGTTGGCGCAATAAAGAAGCTAGTGGAGTATAATTCCTTGTTTTTCTACCAAACTTGAAGCCAAGACAGAAACAAATTTGACAATATTTGAAAAGTTGGAGGAGTTAGTGGGAAGTTTAAAAGAGTCCTTGTCAAAGCTTGATCTGTCTCAACAATCTGTTGTCTCCCAGGATTCGATTTCGAATATGATTTCTTCTATTGAATCTAATCTCAAGGACGAACTTTCTCCTCTACTTAAGTTGGTTATGCTAATGCCAACGAGTACCCAACCTGTGAATCAACTGGTGCAAGGGGGAGATAAGGGCTTGGCTCTTTGAAGGTTCCTGATCAAGGTAAAGTGGTTCGGAAGGTGATATCAACTTAACTTTCGACATCACTTCCTGTTTCTCTAACAACCACTTCTACAAAAACTACTTTGAGACCAATAACCAAAGGCACTACCTTCTAAAGACGATAAAGGTGAAAAAGGAAAGGGTATCGAGAAGATGATTTCAGATGAAGGGAAAAATAAAAATATGGAAAAGGAAATGGAGAAAAAAAGGTAAATAAATAGCATACTAAGAAAAAGGTAAAGTGATCCACCTAGATTAAACAAAGGTGATCAAGCAAACATTGGTGCTACAAGATAATCAAGCAACTAGTCTCTTCAAGAAAGATTCATGATTTCATAAAGTTTCTGAAGAAAAGCTATGAGATCGAAAATAATTATTTTAATCAGCTGGATTTTCCGATTAACCACATGATGTTCATCTCTACTCAGTATCAGTTAATTGATAAGTTCAAATATAAAGATGAGTATAATAGATTGAAGTTAAGGTTTCATGCTGTTCTGGGAAAGAAGGAGGAAGAAGTATGGTCTTCTGTCAAGATTTTCAAAGTATTAAAGATTACCATAAAAAGTCTATTCGAGGGTTTGTTACAAAATTTTCGATATCATGTGGTAAGAGCAAACAACGTTGCTTATGACTTCTCCGTGGATGATTTCCCACTTATAAACCTGAATGATCTCATCAATTTGATGAAGATATTAAGCATTGTCGATGTGTCAAAGCTTCAAGTTATCAACAAAGATGATTTCTTGATTGTTTTTGCACATATCAAGATTTTCATAGATAACTACTATGATTGCTTGGCTGTGACGGATATCGAGCTTGCTATGGCAGTAAATAGAACTTCGAAGTTGCCTCAATCGATGCTAAAATGGTAAGGACGTATTAAAGATTATGATGATGGTGAGGTAGTACACAAACCTTTAGGAGTTGTCTTTCTTGGGAAGAACAAGCAAAACAAAATGACAAATTTTCTTTTTCAAGTTTGTGATGTCGAGAGGTGCACGAACTCTCAGTTTACTAGTCTTATTGTTTGTCTTGGAAATTGAAAGAAGAATTCTATTGAAGACAAAGCTAAAATTCGAAATATTATCATTTGGTATACCGAGATTCATCGAGTACTTCACCAGGCCATGAAGATGATGATGACATAGATTCGACACTTCTCACTAAGGGGTAGATTGTAAAGTTTAAAGTATATAGTAAGATGTTGAAGTATAGTTAGGACTAGTTAGTTTCGAAATTAATTATATTGTATTTCGAATGTATGTATTACATAATACATTGTTAGAAGATCGAAGCTATAATGTCTAGCCCTTATGTATTTTTTGTACGTGTCTGTAGCTCTTTATAAATAAGGGTAAGTATAGGAGTCGACTGTACTTTTAAGAACTTGAGATAACTTTTATGAGTGTGAGCACTTTACTCTTTTGTACTCTTGTATTCATTAAGACCTAATCAAAGAGCCAAATATATTCTATTTACATATTTGTTCTTATCGATTCAGTTATTTATTTATTTCTTAATACTCGATTCAAACGCACTACATATCACTAAGTCTTAGTCTTATATTCCTAGCGACTAATGATAGTCTAGATTCCTCACTAATCATAATGTCTATATCAAGATCTAAAATGTAAGGAACAACCATGTATGATCATATCGGTGGTAGGGTCCGTTTGGTATACAGATTATATTGTTTTTAAATCTCACTTTAAACAGCTCACTAAATTATCCTAGGCATCATTCCCATAAGTATAAGTTAAACTTTAAATAAAATAAGTGTAGCTTAACTTACATACATTTTTGAGAAAACTAGAAAATTACACTGGCAAAATTTCGAAACTGAAGGTCTACTTTTACTGGGCTCTCTGGCGCTCCAGAGCCTCATTACTAGCTCCTAAAAACTCATAAACTTGGGCCCCAAGAGTGGGGAAAATTTTGAGAGAAATAGAAAGTATTAGGAAGAAGTTTTGAGGAATGAAAGGGATTTTCAGGGTATTTATAACATTTTAGGGGGAGGAGGGGGGGCACGTCTAGTGGCATGGACGTCCCTCCTTCTGCCACGTCTCGATGCCATCTTCATCCACATACCCCCTTTTAGAACAACCACTTGTCATATTATTATGGCACCATGTGTCCCAACCTCGTGGTGCCATGTCACCATGTCTCCCAAAGGAGTCGGCTCTCCGACCACGCCATGTGTCATTACCTGATTGAGCCATGTCATCACGACATGTAAATTTTTACAGGTCTTTGGACGACCATAACTTTAGCATACGAGATTTGTTTTCAATATTCATTATATCCCCGAAATCCTCTCAATGAGCTCTACAACTTTCATTTAGGTATAAATAGCTAATTCTTGGTCTAACAAAAACTCATATTTAGACCGATTTAGACTGTTAAAGTCTGTATGGAATTCATAAATTCTTCATAAGAACTCCATTCTTGAATGTATTTATATCAAAAGTTTACATTCATGAGATCTTAAATTCTCATTTAGATTGTTTCGGATAACAATCAACATATTTGAATTTTGATTTCTATGTCTGCACTACTACACTAAAACTTCAAAAAATCATAACTTCCTCATATGAAGTCAGATTTGTACGTTCTATATACGAACACTCTCAATTTTACGATTATTATGACTTTTTAGATAGATTTGGCTAATAAGCAAACTATCTAAAATTCACTTTTTACAACAAGAATAGCCGCATCGGTTTAATCGCAAAACTTCGAAGAAGCATAACTTGTTCATATGAAGCTAGATTTTAGAGTTCTTTACGTGTAAGGAATCATTGTCACATATACTATAACTTTGGTTAAGATTATTTATCTTAAATAATGTTTTATTAAGTCATTTTATTTCTATAGTTGTCTAGCCCAAATCTATGGGCATTACATAACTCTTTCAAGTTGTCGCTCCACTATTCAAATGAAAAAAACCCAACCATATTATGAATTACTATTATCCTGATCTATTTGAAAACTGACATCAATCTAATCATTCACCTTAAGTTCATATTTGCCACCAAAAACTAAGATCATATCTTTTGTTTTTCGCAAATACTTAAGAATGTTTTTTTACTACTGTTGAATGAGCCATTCCTTCCCTGATATCTACTAACCATGCCTAAATCATAAGCCACATTAGGTAGAATACAGGTCATAACATACATGATCAATCCTATAGTCAAATCATATAGGACTCGACTGATAGTATCAATTTCCTTATCACTACTGTGACATTAAGCCTTGCTCAAATTTACAATATGATGCATAGGTAAATACCCTTTCGTGGAATTTTCTATATTGAACCGTTTCAATATTTTATCCAAGTAAGTACTCTGGCTAAGACCACGTAACCATTGTAACGTCCGTAGATTATGGTTAGTCAATTTATAGATAATAAGCGTAAAAATAACTTTTGATAAAAGGTTATTTAGGTTAAATAACCTTAGCCAAAGTTAACATATATGTGACAAGGTTTCTGAACAAAGAAAGAACACTGAAATCGGACTTCATATGAAGAACTTATGCTTCTTTGAAGTTTTACGATTCAACCGACACGACTCTACGTATCGTAAAAAGTGAATTTTTGATAAATTGCTTTTTAGCCTAAGAGCTATAAAAATTAGTTGTAGTAATCGTTAAACCGAGAGCGTGCATGTAAAGAACCTCCAAAACTGACTTCATAAGAGGGAATTATAATTTTTCTAAGTTTCAGTGTAGTAGTATACGATTCAGAAACCGAAGTAGAGATCGATTGATTGTTAGGAAAAACAATGTAAAAAAGAGTTGAAGAGCTCGTCCATATATAAATCCGTTGATATGAAGACAGTCGAGAACGGATAGCATATGAGAAAGTTATGAAATTTTAATGGACATTAATAATCTAACCTTGTTAAAAATATAACTTTCAAAATAAAGTCAAAATTAGTCGATGGAGTCTAAATGGAAGTTGTAGATCTCGTTATTAGCTACACATGGATATAGAGATCGTAGAAAACAGATCTTGTATGTAGAAGATACAATTTTTTTTTGAAAAATCATAAATTCATAGGTGTGTGCTCGAGGAGCACGACATGCAAAAGGCTGCCAACATAGGGACACATATAAATCTAGATCTAAAACATGTCACAAAACAAGATGATCAAGTAGTTGGAGTGTGCGTGGCGCTCCTCATGCAAGACACACATATGGACTATAAATAGATGTGCTCAACCTCGTTCTCATTCACACCACCCACACTTTCTCTCTCGATTTCCTTCGATTTAGCCCCATTTTCCCTTAGTTTTAGCCTACAGTGAACCCATGCGACACCCCTGAGTACTCATTTGAGTAATAGGATACGAGTAGGAGATACCAAGCCAGTATTATGACCGCTTAGATTTCAATTTTCATCACGAGCCTCTGTGAGTTAAGCTACATTTACTTCATGTTAAATGTAACTTTAATTTTAGTCATAGTCGTTATTATGAATCTATAATTAAGGTTTATCAGTAATTCTAATTTGTTATACTGATTGATCTACTTATAGGAGTGATGTCTAAGCTAGATTTAGTCAAGTGGTTAAAGTGGGATTTCCAAACATTATAATTTGTATGCTAAATGGACCCTACTCTCGATATGATCCTTCATGGTTATTCATTATTTAGATATTTAAGTAGAGTTTGGGATTGTTGAGGAATCTAAACCCTTAGGATAATAGTTCCATGAACTATGAAATTATCCTAAGACTTAACGTTATATACATGTAGGGCTTTTGGAAAAAGTTGTAAGGAGAAGCTCTGTCCAATTCACCAATCACCAGACACTTTGTCAAGTGAGTGCATAGTCTCTTTCATCAATATGATTTAATATAAGTATTAATTAAATATTAAATATCTACTGGAAGTCGTATATGAATTATGTACTTATTTCCTGGATTATATGTTAGGATATATATATATATATATATATATATATATATGTGTGTGTGT